ACAACAACAAAAAAGCCACTTTCTCCACCCTTATCATATGTTTCTTTTACATTTGATTTCAGATGTGGATTCAAGATTTAATAACCATCCGGTTCCAAACTGTACTCTAGCTTGAACCTCCAAATTATTGTCTTAAACCAATCCAAAATTTTAATAGAAAAACTAGACAACTTAGCAATTTTGTGTTGGCCACATCAACTCTATTTTCGAGCTCTTCTATAAACCTATTAGTAATCTCAAAGAATCTACTCCCTCCGTCCCAAAAAAGATTTACACGTCTCAAAAAAATTGTGTCCCACAATCTCCTACCCATTTCTAATAAAAAACCACTTTTACCCCTTACTTTTTCAAACCCTACCTATCACATCATACTTTTTTTCTAATAATCTACACATCACATCCTACTTTTACCCATCACATCAAGGGTATTTTTGGAAAGTCAACACAAAATTATTCCTCCCTTAATTCCAACTTTAGTCAAAACGTGTAAATCTTTTTGGGACGGAGGGAGTATTTTGTAAGATTTCAATGCCAAAATAGTCCTCGTGGTATTTTATAAGTGGGTATATAGTACCCAAACTTTCAAAAGTTACGAAATAGTCTTAATGATCAAAGAACTGTTACATACTTCGTTCTTTTAGAGAAAAAACCTGAAGCATGCAAAACACACACATACAATATAAAAATGTGAAACATGTAATAAAATAAAAAAGCTAATATGGTGAAGTTGCCCTCGTCTTCGTGGTGAAAAGCACGGAATGATTTTCTTTCACCTCTTATGCCACATGATATTACCCTAGAATAAAATTAATCGAAGAATGAAATAATGTCAAAGTCATATCATTTAGAACATTGTACCACTTTTCAAGAAGATATATATAAAGAAGTTACTGTGAGAGTTGAATTGAATGATAGAGGATATTGTACTACACTTCAACCTTACATGTTAAAACTCTAGATTAATTTTTTATTGTTACATGCTTCGTATCTTCACATAACGTGCGTGTGTTTTGTGACCTCGACGTTTTTCTTAAAGGAAAGATTAACTATATATGCACTTGATCTTTGACTACAAGGAGTATTTTGTAAGTACTTTTGAAAGTTCAAGAACAATTTTCTCACTTATTAAAAACTTAGGGACTATTTATACAAATAACTCATTTTGTAATTAACAATGTATGTTTGAGATTATAGGAGTTGTGCATGCAGAAGTGTTCACGTTCACATGCCAATCTTACATATCAAGCACGTCAAAAGAATATCTTTGGCAAAACACCATAACTTTTTCGAAAACAATATTTCATCCATCTTCGGATTGCATACTTTTTAAGGATCTGTTTGGTTGGAAGGAAGGGGAGGGAAAGGAGGAAAATTAAGCCCCCTTGTTTGGTTTAAAACACTGAAGAGGACGTGGTCCAAAATTTTAGGTTCAGAATCCTCCACTCCCCTCCCCTCCAGTCCAAATTGGAGGGTTTTTCATTCCATCCACTCTTCTTCCTATTGTTCTGTAAATGAAATACATTATTACTATTATTAAATAAAAATTATAAAATAAGAAAAAATAAAAAATGTACTTTGTTTTATAAAAATTATAAAACAAGAAAACAATAGTAATTATAATAATTAAAGGATTAAATAATGAAAAATTATAATTAAAAATAAAAATAAATTATGAATTAAAAATAATTAAGTAAATTACTCCCTCCGTCCCACAAAATATTACAAAATATTACCCATTTTGATGTATTTTTGGTCAAATAGTTATACGCTTTGACCATAAATTAAATATAATCTAAATAAAGAAATGTTATAAAAATTTGATATTTCAAAACTAGATCCTAAGATGAATTCAATTATATTAAATTTATATTATAATTCAATATACTCTTCTGACAATTTGTAGTCAAAGTGTATAATTTTTTGATCAAATACTATTCAAAATGGGTAATGTTTTGTGGAACAGAGGGAGTATTAAATAAACAAATAAGGATAATAGTAATGATAATAATAGTGATAATAATAATGATGCTGATTATAGTAATATTATTAATAGTAATAATAATAATAATATTTTTAATAAAAATATTAATTTTATGTATATCACAAATAAATAAAGTTACTAAAAATATTGGAATACTATCCTTATTTCATAATTTGGAGGTGGTATTTGCATTGAAGATTTAGCGACACTACCTGTTTGGTGCGGCCACTTACGTCTACACCGATCATAAAAGTCTGAAGTATTTGCTTAGTCAAGAAAAGCTGAATTTGAGGCAACGAAGATGGTTAAAGATGATCTAAGACTACGACTGCTATATCCACTAGCACCCTAGCAAGGCCAATGTTGCGGCCGATGCCTTGAGTCGAAAGACCATGGCCAAACTACGAATTCGACCTACTCTGGACAGTGAGATCCGTACGACTTAGGCAACGGGCGACTTTTGTGTGATGACTTGTGAGCTTGTCTAATTGTAATTATACTCTCGATATCTTTTAAGAGGAAAGTTTGTCTAATTGTAAGCTCTTTGCTACTCCAAAGTAGCCGAGACATAACCTAACACAATCCATAAATACCAAAATTAAATATCTAACTAAGTATCAGTGCATCGTTATCTGCCTTCTGTACCTCACCATCACTCGACCTGATATCTATTACTTGGTGCATGCTTTTGTCTCAATTTATGCAAGCTCCTCGATTAGATCACCTCAATGCTTTTTTGTGGGTAATTATGTATCTCAAAGGTCATCTTAGAGACAGATTTGTGTTACATAGCGATAGTGATATTTCCCTTTTTATTCATTCGAACTCAGATTGGGCAAGTTATCTACTTACACAATGTTTAGTTTTTGGTTATTTTATTAGGCTGGTCAGACACATATTTCTTGGCGCACGAAAAAAGCACGCAATGGTATCCCGTTCGTCTACTGAGGCTGGATACCTTGGATTTGTGGTCTATTAGCTGATTTGGCCATTCTTTGTGTCACCTTTCCCAAGTTATATTGTGATAATAAATATGCATTATTTATTGTGGCCAATAGTGTTTTTCACGAACAATCCCAACACATTGTTATTGACGGTCACATCATTCGTGAGTGCCTTCAGAGCAACACCACATCACTTCCTATGTTCTCATTCATTTTTAGATTGCATATAATAGTACCAATGCACTAGTGGGTCCCTTGTTTCAGTCATTATTGTCCAAGTTGGGCATTTATATTTGATCTTTATGCTTCAACTTAAGAGAGAATATTGGATTATATTATTTATGTGTGTGCTTATATGCATCATTATCTTTATATCGTAATGTGGAAAGTTGGGAAAGGTATAAGAAAGCTATGTTGGAGATAAAAGTGGTTGTAAGTGAAGGAAAACTGAGAGTGTATGAAGGATTTTATCACTCCTTGGGTAAGAAAGAAGAGGAAAGATGTATTTACAATATTAGAAAGGGTCAAGAAAGAAAGATATGAGATTTGGATCAAGTTAAGTGCATTAAAGATAAGAATGATAAAGTTTTGGTCTTTGAATGAAAACATAAACGACTGGTGGAAGAACTACTTCAACGATATATTTAATGTAGAGCATGTGAATCTCTCATGCTTCGATCGGCTACACATGAGGGAAGAGGATCAAAACCTCAATTATTATCGAAGAATTTGAGAGATTGAAGTTAAGGAAGCTATAAAAAAAATGAAGAATAGCCAAACAATTGGCCCAGAAACATTCCAATTGAAGTTTGGAAATGTTTAGGAGGAAAAGGAATTTGGTGGCTGACTAAGCTTTTTAACAAGAGTTTAAGATCTAAGAGGATGCCAAATTAATGGATTAAGAGTATTTTGGTTCCTGTTTACAAGGATAAGGAAAATATTCTAGATCTGTGTTGTGGAAACTATAAAGGGATCAAGCTTATGAGTCATACAATGAAGTTATGGGAAAGAGTGGTTGAATGGGGGTTGAGATAAGATACTTCAGTGTTAAAGAACCCATTTGGTTTTATGTCAAGAAGATCAACTACAGAGGCTAAATACTTAGTGAGAAGAATGTTGGAGAGGTACCAAAGCAAAAATAAAGATCTACACATGGCTTTTGTTGATTTGGATAAGGCATATGACCGGGTACCAAGAGAGCCAGAGAGGTATTGTGGAAGGTGCTAGAGAAAGAAAGGAGTAAGGATTTGTTATATTCGGGCGATTAAAGACATATACGATGGTACCAAAAAGAGCGTGAGAATTCAAACTAGGATTGCAGAGGAATTCCCAGTGGTGTAGGATACACCAAGGGTCATCGTTAAGCTCGTATTTTTTACACTAGTATTGGACAATCTTATCGAACATATCTGTTTGGAAATAATGTTTTTAAGGGAGACCTTCGCGTGAACAAGGGTTGATCACGCGAAGGTCTTCCTTGATCATTTTTTTACATATATAATTTTGAAGATGAAAGTTGAAGTTTGGAAATAATGTTTAAAACTTTAATTACAAGTTGACTTGACTTCTTGAAATTTTATTTTTTATTAAGAACAATTATGAGGTTACACTGGTTGTTTTAAATGTGAGGAAGTATATATTCTATGAACTTCCTTAATTTGGGGTTGCAATTCTAGTGTTTGGATAAATACTTGCAAGTGTCTGTGGTTTTTTTTTACAAACTTTTTAATGTGATAAGTGTGATATACTTTTGAAAAAATATTTTTTTTGTAAACAAAATAATCGAAAAAAGCCAAGCATCGAACCGCAAAAAACCAAACCGTAAAACCGATCGTTCACTTTCTTTTGAAAAACCGAACCGAACCGCTAAATTAACTTGAGTCCCGCCCCTAACGAAAATCGATGGCCTTTATTATAGGCAAAGAGCAACGGTAGGTACACCATTCCAAAGTCAACAAAGTAATTGGCCGCCCACTTTGACACTTTTTTTTCTTTGTTCTCTTTTTCTTTTTAATCAATTCTGAACAGTTTTGTATATGTGAAAGTTTCACTACATAAAAAAGCAATGTGCTCAGTAATCACAAAGTTCTCCAAGGCAATTTTTTTTTTTATAAAACTCTGCGAACAAACAAGTGTAGAGTGCTTCACAACAATCAGGTAGAAACTGAAACTTGTAGTAATATTTCCCGGGTCCATTTTTTTTTTCTTTCTCAATTTTTATTACGGCATTTTGATAATTTATGTTTGTTTATAAATAAAGTACTTTTGAAATAGACAAAGTTTTAATTTACTCATAATTTTTTTTCTTTCTCAATATATGACCATATGTTTATTTCCCAATGTAGAACATTTGGTCATTATCAAGTAGTCATTATTCAACTAAATGTCCATCATTGCTGGATATTATTTCTTCCACTAGGTCATTATTAAGTCCTATTTAGGAAAAATAAAAAAGTTTAAGTCCTACATTAGGAAAGTCATTATGTTTTAGTACTATTTAGTGCAAATTTCACTTTTTATTTATATTAACGAAATAATTTAAGACGTACGGCACTTTTTGTTAAGAAAGACGACTTTAATTAATTTCATCCTGAAAATGGGTTCATTTGCACGCCACCTCCCGATCCTGATGATGTAGCTGAACACATTCAAAACTAATGCAATTATATATGGGATTATGCTATGTGTACCCCAAGTTTTGTACCCCAATTTGTACCCCGCAGTTTTGCACCAACACTTTGTGTTGGTGTAAAACTAATTTTTGTTAAACGCACCAACATTTGTGTCCGTGTGAATTTTTATTAACGCACCAACATTTGTGTCGGTGTAAACCATCGAAATGTTTGTGCAAACCTGTGGTGTACAAATGGGGTATATTTTTTGGTGTAAGTGTAGCATGGTCCTTATATATGATACATTTTCGTCACGGAATAAAAAAAAGGAAAGATCTAGGGGTGCTGAAATTAATATTCTTTTCATTAAAATTATTACTCTTTCCGCTCCTAAAAATCTTTCCTATTTTGAAATATTTTGGTCAAAAAATAATACTACCCCCGTTTCTCAAAAGAGTTCCTCTTTTGACTTTAGGGGAAAATAAGGAAGTGTTAAATTGTAGTTGACTTTCCAATTTTGTTCTTAATGTGATGGGTAAAAGTAAGATGTGATAGTTTAGTTGTTAGTGAAAAAGTATGATGTGATAGGTATTGTATGAAAAAGAAGGAGTAAAAGTAGTTTTTTAATAGAAAGGGGAAGTGTTTTAAGAAAAACAAAAAAAAATGAAAGAAGAATGGTTTTAAGAAGCGGAGGGAGTATTATTTTGCTTAGAGAATAAAAGATGGCCTGCACATTTGATGTAAATACTACGGAGTATTAGATTAGTCTTGCTAAAGACATAAAAAATTTGATTTCGTTATATTAATAAGAAATAGAAATTAAGCGATTCAATTTTGTTCAGTTTACCTTTTTTCCCATGATTTATTGTTGGGCAATGCTAGGGGTACCCCATGTTGGTGTACCCCTAGCTTAATTCTTTATTGTTTTCCAAAGGCACCAACCAATGACCAGAACGGCGCAGACACCACAAACAATAGCAACTGGAATCGCTCCAAAATTCAGCGCCGCGCGTCCCCCAATGCCGGCATTGCAATGTGAGAAGTAGTGAAGAAATAAAATTAGAAATGCAAACAGTATATTTTTTTTATGCTATAGTTTTTCTTCATCATTTTGCATGCACCTGTTATTTCTTTATAATATAATACTCCGTACTTTTTTTTTTTTTTGAGACTTGAGAGTTACTTACTGATGAGTGAGTACTCTCGCAAGTCCACCGTATCATTTATACACTATTGATAGGCTGCGTACATTTTCATTTACTCGCTTTTCTACGATACTCCCTACATCTCCGTTTTTTTTTAACCATGCTAGATAGGGGTTAGGCTATGTAATATATGGGTGCCTATATAAAGCCTTAGCTAGCCATATACTCCCTCCGTCGTCCCTAAGAGCACTGTAAAGCCCCGGGGCTTCAAACTTTCTCTCTCTGTCATATCAGCTTTAACTTATATAAAAAATTCACTGGAAATGGATTGAAGCTCTGGGCTTCAAACCTTCATTTTTTACATTTTTAAATATACATCTTCTAAATTTAAATTCATAAATTTAAATTAATTTATTATTTAAATTAATCGCAATGAGAATAGTGCATTAAAAAAAATTACATTCATTAAAAAAAATATTACATTTACATTCATTAAAAAATTACATTCATTAAAAAAAATGACATTCGTTCATAAAAAATAAATTCATAAAAAAATTACATTCATTAAAAAAATATTACATAAAAAAACAACACTACAAAGAAATCACTATTTATTCGAGCGACTAAAGATATGTTCGATCAAATCCTCCGTTGGTGCATTGTGAATCTCTCGGCTTCGAATTTCTTGGCGGTATCTTCGTTTCTTTTCTTCGGTGATTTCTTCGTACATAGGCACCTCCTCAACCGGGTTGTATTGACAAATCGCAGTCCCGTTATCCTCTATGATCATATTATGAAGAATAATACATGCGTACATGATATTCCTCATTTTTCTTTGAGAATAACATTTCGACGGACGATCTAGAATGTGCCATTTACTCTTCAAGACCCCAAAGGCTCGTTCAATATCTTTTCTCGCCGCCTCTTGAGCTTTTTGTAGGTATGGCGTTTAAGACCCATTGGTTCGGAGAGGGATTTGACAATCGTGGAATAATCTGGATATATTCCATCGGCCAAATAATATCCACGCTTGTAAAGCGTCCTTCTAAGCTCAAAAGAGGAGTCCGGTGCGGTCTCATTAACCCAATCGTCAAAAACAGGCGATTGATCGAGAACGTTGATGTTGTTGTTCGAGTCCGTGACACCGAAAAAAGCATGCCAAATCCACAAGTCATTCGAAGCAACAGCTTCGAGCATGATGGTAGGCTTGGGATGATCTCCCCAGGAGAATTGACCGTGCCACGCAGTGGGACAATTTTTCCATTCCCAATGCGTGCAATCAATACTCCCAAGCATGCCGACAAAGCCATGTTTAGCGGCATACCTTGCCTGCAACTGCTGGATGTCGCTCGCTGTAGGCTTGCGTAAATATCTTTTATGATAAATTTGAATAATAGCTTTTGAAAATTTATAAACACAAGACCTGATGCTCCAAGCCGACATCTTCAAGTATTAGTCGAACATATCAGATGTCGTCCCGTACGCCAACTGACGCAGCGCGGCAATGCACTTTTGGGCGAACCGTTGGGTGAACCAAGGAACCTCGCGTTCAACACCGGCGAGTATGCGTACAAAGAGAGGACGACTCATCCGAAAACGATTACTAAAATCCTCCGGTGTATAAACACACGGATTATTAAAGTAGTCGTTTAGAAGTGAAGCGTGGGCGGCCGCTCGATCCCGGTTTAAACGTTGTCGTCGGGTCCGTCGTCGGGAGGATTCGGGTTCTTCTTCTTGGCCTTCTTCCCACCATTGAATACAACGCGTGGCAAAACAACGAAAAAAGAGAGCTCTTTTTTCATCGTCGGATGAAGATGAACCCATTTTTAAAATATATTTTGTAAATATTTATAATAAATAATAAATATTTTAGAGAGAATATAGAGAGAGATGTGTGAGAGAAAGGGGAATTTTATAGGTTTTTTTAAATTTAGAATTTTTTTTTAAATGGGGGGGGGGGGGGGNGGGGCGGCTGAAATTCCGAAGCAACGCTGCGTCAAACGAATGACGCAGGTGCCAGAACGCCCAAGTAACGCCGGAGGGGTGCGGTGTTTAACGCCCCACAGGCGTGAAAAACGGCATAACGCCGGTGGGCGTGAAGAGTATACCCAGTGCCCTAAATATTTTTCACATTTGTATTCCCGAGCTAAAATAACAAGTATTTTCAATTCATTTTATTTACATATTGGTATAGAAATAAAAAATAAAATTTACATATCAAAAAACTACATGAAAAGTTCTTCGAAATAAGACGTCCCAAGAATATTTTATTTTATCAAATAACCCATGAAAATGTAGAAATAAACAAAAATTCCCGCGACTGCTAAAAAAGCAAATATTTGAAATATTTAAGGACGGAGGGAGTATGCCTTAGGCCCCGTTCCATTCAACTTATTTTTTCTTATTTTTTCTTATTCTTATTATAATCAGATCAAATCAGATCAGACCAGATCAGATTGAATCAGATCAGATGGAATCAGATCCAATCAGATCAGATCAGATCCAATAAGATCAGATCAGGCCAAATCAGACCTGATCGGATCGCATCAAAAATAATAATAATAATAATTATTATTATTATTATTATTATTATTATCAATATCATTATTATTAAATGCCTTAAGATAAAAAAGTATTTTTATTTTTCATACACAAAAAAAACTATTTTTTGCAAAAAATACAATTATAATATAAAATTAGCATCAATATTAAAATGTTAAATTTTGAAAATTTATTGTGGTTACTTTGCACCTTAATTTATTTATTTAGTATTTATTATAAAATAATATATTTTTAATTACACTTTATATATTACAAGATTTTGTTTTAAATATCATATATGTCACATAATGTAATCAAACCTATTGTTCTTTCATGATTGACATTTTATTTTCATTGCAACTGTACTCCTATTTTTGGAATAAAGTTATAGAACTTTTATTTTTGTATTTCTTTATGTTTTACTCCTATTTTATTTTATTTCTCTAAACTATTTTAACTTTCAAATTTTTTATAAAACTTAGAAAAATGAAAAAAAAAAATAAATTTTGAAATAAATAAAAATAAGAAAAAATTGAGTAATAAAGGGAAAGGTGAGGGTCTTATATAAAGTTAGATTAATAAAACATTCTATGTAACTATTTTATCCATAATTTTTTAATATAGTTTAAAATATTGATGTTTTCTTATTTTATCATGTAGATTAATATACAGAAAAATATCTTATTCATATTAAAAATTTGAAGATAAAAAAATAATGAGTGTGAATCGTAAAAATAGTGAGATGAAAATAATAATTTATAAACTATAGTTATAAAACATAATAGTTGTAATAATAATACATTAAAAATATGTCGTTTTTAGGGTAATTGGTTGGGGGAGTAAAAAGAGTTTAAAGAAAATGAGAATAGTTGGAAGAAACTGGAAGAAATTGGAATAAAATAGAAGGAACTGGAAGAGAATGGAAGGAACTAGAAGAAAATGAAAGTTAAGAGTTTATTCCCTAAATGACAAGCTCTAAGTAATGACAATCATGAAAACATAATGAAAGATAATGATGCTTTATTTTAATAGATATCTTAATGAATTTAATTAGAAAAATTTATAAAGCAATTCTTTTAAAAAAATTAAAAAATGTTTTACATTAGTTTTTATGATTCTACATAGAAGTAGTCCATATTGTGTAGCTATTTTTAGGTTTCATTTTTATTATTTTTTTTTCTAATTTCACAGTACAAAATAAAAAGCCAAAAGTATATCAAAATAATTAAAAAACATATTTTTATTCGGTCCAATCAATTCAGACCGATTGAGCTCGCTCCTATATGTTTCGGTCCAGTTTGCATCGGATCAAACCTAAATAGATTTAGATCTGATCTTCGATCCGTGATTTCATTTAATTCGATCTTCAATCCAATTCTAGCATGTCCAATGTGGTCCGGTCTTGGACTACACGAATTTTCGAGAGGGAAGGAATATCTACTTAGAATTTGTACATACTAAAATTGAGTTATCTTTTTATTTTAATGATTCCATCCGTGAAATTTTGTCAAAAGAAAACATAATTCTAGACGATCGGGAGGAAAATTCAACAAAAAAAAAGCTACTCCTCCGTCTAAAATTAACTTTTCGGTTTGACTTTTGTGGTCAAACTTTTAAAACTTTGGTTGTATATTACGGAAAAAATACATTGAATTTTCATATAAATTTATTAGCAATAGATTCATTTTGAAACATAGTTTTGAAATATATAATTTTTATAAAATATATTTATATGAAAATTGAAATATTGATGGTCAAAGTATCGCATTGGAGACCGTGAAAAGTCAAATGGGAAGTTAATTTTAGGACGGAGCGAATATTAATTGCCGTACTTAATTAGACCATTTCCATAATTCCATTAGAGTAAAGCTATTTGTACCCAAGAGTTTGTACACCAAGAGTTTGTACCCCATTTGTAGATTTTGTACACCGCAAGTATGCAATAACATTTTGTGTTGGTGCAATGTTAATTTTTGTTAACAAACCAACACTTTGTGCCAGTGTAATTTTTTGTTAATGTACAAACATTTTGGAGAAAGATCAAAGTAGGACTAAAACATAAAAAAAATACGGAGTATCAAAATAGGACTTCCATGTTTTTATTCTAGGACTTACATTACCAAACATGGTCATGTACTTTACCAAAAAAGTATAGTAATGTGCACATGTACAGTGCCACATTACCACAGTGCAAAGTCTTATTTCGGGAAAAAAACATGAAAGTCTTATTTTGGTACTTTTGTCTATGTTTTAGTCCTATTTAGGGTGATTTTTACAAATAATTTTGTGTCAGTGTGAACCATCAAAATGTTAGTGTATAGCTTTAGTGTAAGTTTGTGGTACAATTTTTTGTGTAAGTGTAGCATGGTCCTTTCCATTAACAGCATTTATTTGGTCTATTTGTATTAGTAGTGGAGTTAATAGGAGTGGAGAAGAACTCCGAAACCATTTTGCTAATCACAAATATTCTGATCTCGTCTCTATAGTATCTCGTTTTGTTAGAGATGACAAAATTTTGTCTCTAGCCATTTTAAAATGGGACAAGATCGAAACACATAAATATTTTCTCATTCCGCCTCGTTGTCTCATATATATTTATGTATCTATTTAGTTATTTATCTATATAATGATATGCGGAGTAATACAAAAAAAGTATCACAACTTTATTTTTCCCTATGTAGATATTAAAAATATACGTATTCAAATGTTATAAAAAGTAGACTAGGATTGGAACATCTAAAAATCCATATTTTTCTAACTTGACCTTCCTCAATTTGTGACTCATAGCTTTTATGAAATTATAGTCTTTACTTTTGACGTATGTTGTAACATTTTTTCAGATTTCTTTATTATTTTTGTTTCTTAAAAACATTCTATATAAATTTATCATTTTTTCATTAGTTTACAAGCTAAAGTGGGTTGATTCTCCCTTATATATTTTATATTTTCATATCTAATTTCAGACAATGACAAAGCAGGACAACCTGAACACGTTTTGTTTTATCTTGATCCCGAATATTAAGGGACAAAGAGGGATAAGCTTGTGGCCCGAACAGTTTGAAAAAAACTGGGACAAAACGTGGGACGGTATAAAACTCGAACTGTCCCGACCCATGCCTACCCTTAACTTGTATATGGGGTTAGTCTTGGTGTTTGGGTTGTATATTGTAGCCTTACGTAGTTGTCTATATATAGTATTGAGAATCAATGAAAAAGTAGAACAATATTTTCTTAAAACTTTACATGATATCAGAGCTAAGCACGCGACTCGTGTAACCTAGCCGCTGCTTCAGTCGTTCTCTACCTTTTTTCGTTGCACAAAGAACATCATCGGTGTCAGTGCCTCTTCCTCCTCAATCATGAGGGACGGCACATCCAAGAAGGCACCTGCCATATTGATTCGTGACCCATCTTCCCCGTATTATCTTCATCCTTCTAAAAGCCAAGGTAATTCATTTACCAAATATCATTTACGTGGAGACAATTTTGATACTTGGAAAAAGGTGATTTATAATGCGTTGAAGGGTCGTGGGAAGACTAATTTTTTGACAGCCGACTAAAAGCTAGAAGCAAGAACTTTCAGCATGGGAATCAAATAATTCTATTATTTGTTCTTGGATTTTGAATAGTGTTGATGAATATGTTCAACATAGCATTGTGTCTCATGGTGTTGCCAATGAATTGTGGACCGATCTAGGGGTTCCAAAGGACCCCATATTCATTAGCTAAAAATCGAGATGCAAAATTTGAGACAAAAAAGCCAATCTGCGGTGATTTATTACAATCCATTTATTTCCCTTTGGAACCAACTGTATGGATTGAAGGACCCGACGGGAGGTTGGATTTAGCAATATATATATATACTAGCATGGCACACACGTTGTGTGCGTGTGCCCAAATTATTTGTATAATGTGCTAAGATTTTGTAATATTTCATACATGTAGTATTTTACGAGAAGTTTAGACATTGTCTTACAAAATTTGAAGTGATCACCCATACTTCATTTATGATATCTTGCAAGTGTATAAGTTCTAACATAGGGACTGTTTTACAAAAATTGAAGTGCTCACATGCACCTCATATATGAGATGTAGAGGATTCCTACCTAGTTGGGATAGATATATGTTACAAGAGGGGTAGGAATACACATTTAAGTACTAAAAAGTTTCTAAGATCTTGAAACATGGGTTAATTTTTTTTTTCTGACAATCCTCTTCAACTTTCAGCTTTCTCTTTAAACTTGGAGTGCTTGTTTCCCTTTGAGAGAGGCTGTAGAGGCTTTGTAGTGAGTACATGTTTGATGTGCATCTTTCGTAAGAGCCCAATGTTGGTTTGATTGCAGCAATAACCGTGAATGTTTGGAGGGCTTTGTTCAGATTCACAGAATTGATTTCCTCTAGCGGTGTATTCCATTCTACCGTCTTTAATATTTTCGGAAGTTCTTTGGTGAAGAGAGTGATCTGTAGAGTACCACTGGCATCAGTTATTTCTGCTACAGCCCTGAATCTGCAAAGTTGTATAGTGAGAAAGTGTGTACATAAGAAATGAAGTCGTTATGCAGTGCGTATAAACAAAGACAGTAAAGATCACAAAATGGGATTGTTTTGAAAGAATACTGAAGTACAATTGCAACCTGTTTGTAGTTGTTGCTTCTTTATCCCCACAATGCATGCATTTATAAGTAATTCCTTCTCTAAAGTGTACTTTGCGATTGCAGCTGTTGCATCCTATGTATAATGTAACTGGTTCATTTTCTAGGAGTTGCATTTCCCCTTGAACCCAGGACATCTGTTCGTGTGTGAAGGTGTGGACGAAGATGGGACGTAGGGTTAGTTACACATCTGTTCAGTCACAAACATTTGATAGGAGTTTTTAGGAAAAATTGAAGAAGCGTATTAACAAGCTGATTCGGAGTGTCTATGATGTCCGATATGTTTGTTTTTTCAATATCTTCTGGACTTATGAAAACAGACAAAGGGTCTTCGAATATGAAAATTTTGAATATTTTTTCCATTCCAAAAGTAAACAAGAAATGTTTTACTGAACGTAAGTAGTATTATCTTGTAATACCTAATTAAACAAAATATAAAATACATGTAAATAATACAAACTTTTAAAAACTGCAAAATGAATAAAATCAAGTTATAAAAGAATTAAAAGAACTGAAAAATAAGAAGTAATTAGTAGAAAAAAAGAAAAAAAAAGAACAAAAAAGAAAGAAGAAAAACCTCAGAGTGCGCTTTAGTACTCAGATTGAATGTAAATGAACAATTGAAGATTTGAACGGTTTTGAAGCAATAATAATGCAAATAATCAAGCATAAGTTATAATGAGTGGATTAATCCGATAAACTCCAAACCCTAGACGGGGGCAGCTGCGGCGAACTTCAATTAAAGCGTTTGAAGAACATTAAAATTGATTTCTGTCTTTGAGTCAAATGTTTCATTGGATCCCCAAATACTCCGAAATTTTTTGAAAACTGAAAACTGTGAATTTGAACTCTTAAAAATTGAATAAGGGTCCGTTTGGTATACGGAATTGATGGAATTGGAATTGAATTGGAATTGAAATTCCATTGGATTCAATTCCATAGAATTGAATTCTTCCAATTCTAATTCATTTTTTGCACTATCAATTCCAAATCCACATAATTTTTGTACTACCAAACACCAGAATTGGAATTGAAGTCCTCAATTCCAATTCCATGATTTGAATTCCGTGTACCAAACGGGACCTAAGTGTATTAAAATTTGGGTGAATTTTGAAATGAACTGAATTATAAAACCTTTGAACTTCTAGAAGACAATGAATTTTGATTGGGTTTCCTTTTTTTCAGCAAAAAAAAAAATGTAAATTTGAAGAATCTGAAATTGGAAGTAAAGATTTGAAGAATTGCGCAAGTTATGAAGATTATGAAGAAAGTGATGGACGAGTAATTACCTGCTAATTTTAATAGCCACACATTTTGTGGGGGGCTTACGGCGGGGTGGGGTAAGCCCGCCGTAATTACCTTTGAATTACCTGAAATCGAAGATCTGCGCAGGATGAGCTAAAATGAATTAAAATCTGAAGTGGGAAGAAAGTGATGTAGTGGGGCCTTGGGCGGCAAGATGGACGAGTAACATCAGTGTACGTGTACATAGCCTGGAAGAAAAAGAAACGGAAAAAAGAAACGGAAGTGGACGGAAAAAAGTCGAAGGAAACACTCTTAGAGCCTTATATAATTATATATAATTAGGAAAAAGTCGAGTAACATCAGTGTACGTGTGTGTGTGTGTGTGTATAGTTTCTCTATTGTGCCATTTGTACGGAGTATATTTTTATACGGAGTAAGAAGTAATTTCTCACCATCAACAAGGACCAATAAGTATATGCCTAACAAGATTATTTCTTTAATTTTTACAATTTGAAAAAAAACATTCTCTATCCATCAGCAGCTAACGAAGTGTACTTGCACCACCTTTGATTGAAAGCGCTTGCCCGCGGGAGGAAGCGCGATTACTATTATTATTATTACTAACGAAATGATCGTCGAGGAACAAAACGATGATGCTGATGTCATCGTGAAAATGCCTTCTCACGCCGCCCTCTATCTTTATCAAGTCCGAATACCTCATTTCTCTCTTCTTTGCTGCTTCATGAAGTGCAGCTTTCATAAGTTTCCTAGCAACACCCTTCACAAACAATTAATTAAATGTTTACATTTTATCTATTTATTGCATTCATCCATAAAAGAAGAAGATTAGAAATGTAAGGCTATGTTTAAAACTCGGGAAGTGGTACGGGGAAGAAGGGAAAATTGCTAAGTGGTTTTTAGAGTCAAGTTTTACCTTTAAAAATGTGAAGGACAGTCTTAGTATAATAAACTTGATTAATTTAATTTTGAGAGCTGTATTTTCTTCACTTCCACATTCCTCCCTAATTTATTTCCTTAGCATTCTTGAAGTCCCTAATGGACCCAAAGGCTCTGTTTGGATGGATAGTAGGTTTGAAGGGTAAGAAAAAATAAGAGTAAGTGAAAAAACCTTGCTTGGAAGTGTACACTTTAGTCTCTCTAAAACTCAATCCAAACAGAGCCCAAGACTTCCAAGAAAAAAAAATATGAATGTTTTATTCAAACCTTTTTCATTATAGAATCAACGCAACAAACTTACATTGCGTGGGCAAGTATTCACAATTTCAACTGCCTCTTGGTTGGTGAGATGCTCCCATAAACCATCTGATGCAAATATAATGAACTGATCTTCAGGGAGGAGTTTGTGAACATGTATGGACGGCTCGGCTTTGAGGATTGGGGTATGGAAGGGCTTAGATAGTCTAAACTTTGGCAACAAAGGCTCCCTGTTGAACTCCCATCTCTTGAAATATGCATCACCAATTGATCGTGAAATCTGCAATGTGATTCCATACCAACAGTGTTCAATTCTAAACACCTTTGAAAATTGAATCTGACAAAAATCAGGAACTAGTTTCTTCTCTCTTTTTTTTTTGAGCATGGACACAATTTGATAGGTTTAGCAATTTCACCTAGTCACATTAAAATGTTTCAATGGCTTTAAAATTTCAATAGGGGTATTTTGGATTTTTAGTCATAGATGTAATATTGCAATAATTTTATACTACTGATAGAAAGTAAATAGCCATTACTCGTTGTATCACGACATTCGTGCCCTATTTTATTGTCCTTTTTTTTCTTTAATTGTTGGCATTGCTCTTTTCCTTTTGCTCTTGCTTTATACTTTCCAATATGTGTTCCCATTTTAAATTTTGGAAAGGAATCAAAGGATCCACCTACTGAAATGTTATCTTCCCTAAACTTTTCCCTCTTTTCACTCTCTTCTCTATACCCTGCACACTACTAGCATTCTTAAATTTTATGCCAAATGAGATGTGAAGGTACTAAATTTATATTTCTACATCTAGCAGTCCTGGTACTAGTGACAATTATAAAGTTTGGTACTAGAAATCATGCGAGTTTGTCAATTTCTCTCTCCTCTGCGCTGCTCTGCTTTCTCCCGTTGTAGCTTGTAACGGCTCTTCCTCGGAATAGTCGCCGGCGCGTCGACCCTCAGCGTTCGTCCTTCCTGCCGGCGGTGTAGACAGTCGTCGGACGGCGGCGGCGGACGGCAGCGGACGACGGCTAGGAGCACAGGTAAGTACACATCCACCCACACCCCACCCCTTCTCCAGACCTAACACTCCCAGATCCGACCCAGATCCGACCCAGATCCGACCCTAGACGCCAACCTCTGCCGGTCACCGCCGACCCCCTTATCCCAGACCCGGAACCCAGCCACCCCCACACCCACCCAGAACCGGAACCCAGCCATCCACTCGCCGTCGACCAGAACCCGAACCTCCTTCACGGATTGCTCCGTC